GCTATAATAAAAAACACTCAACAACTGACGAACCAACTACACGACAACAAACACCAACTAAACTAAAATAAACTAAAAAAACCCCAACATAGTAATACCCGAGTGTCGAATCCCAATGAAATAATAAGGTAACACGCAGGCTCCATTGCCCCAAGTTTCACTTTCGCCAAATTTTTCTGATCCTTTTAAGATCTGTTTTTTCTTCCCCTTAAACCCGCACGAACGTTTCATTTATTATTAAAAATTTGCCTTACATTATGCGATTTATTTATTTAAATCACGACAACGTAGTGCCTCTCAAATACTATCAGGCATATGATTATGTCTTAAGTCTCTGAATAAGATTATTAATTAGTATAATAAATACTAGTACAATCTATTCATTTGGACAACTCCGTGAGGTGAAGTGAGTCAACTCGGCTGAGTCGCCATCATGGGCTGCTGTGTGTCGAAGAAGCATCAGCCGCCGCGGCCGGCGGAGAAGGATCAGTGGCAGCAGCAGCAGCAGCAGCAGCAGCACCGTCGCTCCTCATCCGTTAACGGCGCCTCCGCCGCCGGATTCGCGGAGTTCTCGCTGGCGGAGCTGAGGGCCGCCACCAGCAACTTCAGCTCCGACAACATCGTGTCGGAGAGCGGTGAAAAAGCTCCCAATGTCGTCTACGAGGGTCGTCTGGAGAACCAGCGGTGGATCGCCGTCAAGAAATTTACCAAGATGGCGTGGCCTGATCCTAAACAGTTTGCTGTAAATACATATATTTTACCCATCTTTTTATTATTATTATTATTATTATTATTATTATTATTATTATTATTATTTTTTTTTTTTTTTCTTTTCTGGAGAGGAGAACAGATTTAGATTATGGAGCTTAATTTTATTTATGCAGGAAGAGGCAAAGGAAGTGGGGAAGCTGAGGCACAAGCGGCTGGCTAATCTGATAGGGTATTGTTGTGATGGGGATGAGAGGCTACTTGTTGCTGAGTTTATGCCTAATGAGACACTGGCTAAGCATTTATTTCACTGTAAGTGTTGTGAAAATTACTAATTTAGCTTTAGTTTGTGTTTATTTGTACATTTTCCTTTTTAACACTAATGATTCATTAATTGGGAGTGTTCTTTTAGCTTAAACCTAACATGGTCTAACCAATTACTTGATTTTAAGCTGGTGAGTTGAGAAATCTTGTTTTAAAGTAAGGGGAAGTGGCAAAAGTTTGAGGGTCTGTGAACTTTTACAATGTTCTGAGATTTTCAAGGGGTAATGTGGATGTAGGATTGAGTTCCCAACTGGGATTGTAATGAATTTTATGATGAATGAATGAATTCGTAAATGTTCTGCTTTACAAAATTAATATTAGTTGTAGTAGGGATGTTATGTTGTCTGGGAAGATTGCTGATATATTTCATATAGCAGGTTGGAGTCACCCATGTGACTATTCTGAAACGTTGCATGGGAACCTAACCGTTTTCTTCTTGCGGATGATCCGCAAATTCTTAAAAAAAGGCTTGAAGCCGGAATCGCGATGATGAACTCAATGAAATGCATGCTTGCCTATAGAACTTATCGTTAGCGCGATCATCAGTGATGATTTTGGTTGAGCTCTGAGTTAGACATGATAAACATTATATTTTTGAAAGCAAACGTAACAACTTGAATTGGCAGGAATGCCTGCTTTATAAATTGGGAGTTTTCTTTCAGACAAGAAGGACTTTATCACTTTTTTGTTACTTTTGTTCTGTTGATTGGCGATAACAATACAGGTTTTTTGGCACGTGAAATAAGGATTTAACAGTTACTTTGTGTCTTGCAATCCTTGAGTACGAATTACTAGTTTTTCTTTTCCGGTATCACGAGTCTCATTTATTACCTGAAGATTTCCTTCGTGGGTATTCCTGACTTTTTTCAGGGGTTAATCTCTTTGCATTATTTTCCTAATGAATCTTGATGTATGCATGGCGATCTTTATTTATCTTCAGTTTTCTTCTTCACTTTCTGCAGGGGAGAATCAAACCCCTGAGTGGGCTATGCGACTAAGAGTTGCCTTATATATAGCTGAAGCACTTGACTATTGCAGCAGGGAAGGTCGTCCGCTCTACCATGACTTGAATGCATATAGGGTTCTATTTGATGAGGTTAATTTTCTGGTTATTGCTTTCGTTGCATAGTGATGTTGGGTGGTTGAATCTTGTTATGTGCTTGCTTGTTCTTTTATGCTTGACATGTGTCTTAAATTTTATAAACTAGTATTTATGCGTACCCTGTGGTTGACTTGACAGAATGGTGATCCACGGCTTTCTTGTTTTGGGTTGATGAAGAATAGCAGGGATGGCAAGAGTTATAGCACAAATCTTGCATATACGCCTCCCGAGTATCTTAGAAATGGTAAATTTTTTATGTTAACATTTTCTTGCATTATAAAATTGGTTTACAGATACTACAACGAAGTATGCCCTCGCAACCTCGTATTCTTTTTATACTGTATCATTTTGTGCAAATAATTCATTTTAGGAAACTACATATAAAATCTTTAGATGAAAAAGACGTAACCTGTTTATTTACTTTTATAGACTTTGAATTCGTCTTTCCTTCATTTAATTACCTTCTGTTACAATGGACTATAATTACCAATACTGCATGGCCCGCACAGCTCGTTGTTGTTTATTATGAACTGACTGGATTACCTGATCTGAGACCTGATCTGAGAAAGGCAAAAAATAGCCATTCTTCTGATATGGGGTTTGTGAGTGATATCTTTGAAACATCATGACATTTACAATGGCTGATTTCGATCCCTCTCGAACACGTGGAACATAAATTCCAAGTATATTATTTGTATTAGAGCTTATAAAGACATTAAGTATTTCCTGGAAAAGCAACACAATTAATTGGTTCCTCCGAATTGGTTGCACTACTTACCAACAAAATCATGGAACTTAAAAGTTTTTCGGGACCTTGAAGCTGAGATCTCCCTGCTGGCCAATTCCTCTATCCTCATAATTGCTTAATCGTCAGTCCAAAATGAAGGTGAAACAATGTGAGAAGAAGCCTCACAAGAACATATTTGTTAAAAAGTGTTGTTGTACAGGTTCAACTCCAGCGAATATTATCCAATAAAAGTACGTTATACTCCATGCACGTGGATGTGAAAGTATTTGAATGGAATATAGCTATGATTCCTTCCAGTTTGGGCCATGCATGCTTACTAAATATACAATATATTCAAGGTGGTCTATGTGCAAGCTAATACAAGAAGACATATGTTTCAATAAAGCTGTATTAAAACTATATAATATGATTTCAGCTGTTGAGCTATCGGTACTTTCTTTTTCTGTACTAAATAAACTTATACAATCAGTTTTACCATTAGCTGTTGCATGATTGGAGTTCTTCTCCAGTACATAATAGTATGGAATGGTGAAGATATGTTATAACAGAATTAATTATCCCTGGAATGTAAATGTTGGCCTATGAATTGAGCAATTGGGCATTCATTTGCTTGTATATTCATCATCTGTAACATATCCCTTTCTCTCTTTCTCTGTCTCTTGGCTTGGGTAGAACTCATTCCCAAAAGTTAGCTCTAAGGGAAAGGGGCCTCAACCCACACTTATACACAATAACAGCCCAATCTAATCGATGTGGGACAAACATAATTTCTAACACTATCTAACCATATTAAACATGTAATTTTTCATCCAAATCTTTTGTAGGGAGAGTCACACAGGAAAGTGTTGTTTTCAGCTTCGGAACTGTCCTTTTGGATCTGCTTAGTGGAAAGCATATTCCTCCAAGTCATGTACGTTGCCTTAACTTGCTATTTATCAGCTTCCGTAACTTGCTGCTTGATATGTTTTTGGTAGCTGAATCCCATTTCAATAATTAGCTTTTTTTAAGCTGTAATTCCATTTGTCTGCTATCATGTTTATACTGAAAACATATGTAGGCCATTAATTGCAAGCAATTTACAAACTGCTTCCCTTGCAGTTACAAGTAATATGATAATTTTTGCATAAGAATATTTGTTTTTGTTAAATGGTAATGAACACCAAACTAATCAATGGCGTAATGGGAGGCTTATATGCCATATTGGGTTGCTTAACTAGTAGGGGTTAGATTCACTAACACATGTAGTTCAATGTTCATTGAAGGTGGAGGACCAGACATACCCTGTTAGAAGTATTATTAACCTTGGCAAAGAGGTGCAAATTGTGATGCTTAGTGCTCAACTTACGTTAGACTTACGTTAGGAACCAAAAGTGTACTGTGTTTTTGTTCAAGATTTCTCTTCTACACAGTTTTGCTTCTCTTTCTAAACACACACACAAAGAAATTATCAATATATGTGACCATGCAGGCGGACTTCTAGTGATATATTTGTCAAATTATATCAAAATAATTAATCTTGTGATGAACTGCTAATACCAACACCCTTGGTTAGTGATCAAAAAGTTTTGTTTAACTTCTTAGTTTTCTGGGCATTGGTATCACTCCAAGCAATTGACACTGAAGAAGACGAGAAATGAAATGTCTTATCTACTGTAACTGCAGTTCAATATGCTTGTTGTCTGAACTGCATTGGGCGGGAGTCCAGGCAGGTCTTTGGTGATTTTAAAAGCCGTTAACCCAAATTTGACTTTTCTTTTTGTTGCACTTCCCCAAGGTTTTCAAATACAATAGCACTTTGTTTATGTGAATGATTTCTCAGACAATTCGAAGTAGATCGCTTGATTTGTGGTTGAAATCCTGTCATTATTTCTTCTTATGCATTAATCTCGTATGTTTTACTGTATTTGACTATTTCCTCCCAAATTTCTAAGTTTATACCAGAAAACTAGTACTTGTTTCTGTTATATTTGTATGCTATGTTGTCTTAAATTTTATTAGTAGTTTATGCGATTCATATTTCATCACCTGTTGGCATTTCTTTTGAATGACTGAATGAGATGGTGTAATGGTTGCATTTATGTGAACTCTTGTATTTCTGTTATATGCAATCCTGTTTCCAGTTGATTTGTCACTGACTGTCGTACAGTCTCATGGCTCTCCCTCATGAAGTTTTTAGTTATTACTAGGAAGATGCACGTGCTACGCACGTGATATTATTTCTTTTACTTAAAATTATTTTTATTATTATATTTAATTTAATAGCGCAATATAATTTTTTTTTCATTATTTAACAAAAAATTGTGTATTTTATGATAAAATATAAAATTTAATACTATTAAGTATTAACAGAACTCTATAACAAATAAAATTAAATAAAAAATATTGGTTAGAAAATCTAAAATAAAATATATATTTTGTGTGAAATTTGAAATGCTAAAGAAATTTATGTTCATCTTTATGCCTTAAAATAGTGATCATTATTATTGTCAAAATATATTTTTTTAATGCCTTCCTTTTGTGTCTTACTATTTGAAAAATAACTCGAATTACTATGACTATAATTTGTAATTATCATTTGCTTATTGTTGATTGGAAGCTGACAGTATGGTTGAATGTTCATTCTCTATTATTTTGATTATAACGGTTGCAAATTCAATTATATTTACACGCGTAATATATCGTAATACTTAGATATATATTTTCTCTCTGTGTATAATGATATAAGAGATATAAATATTTAAAAATATCTTTAAAGTCGTAAATATTTAAGAAACAATTACTTGAAAATTATTAGGAACAATAACATATTTGATTGATTAAATGTTAACATTTATCTATATATAATTTTGTAGCATTGGTTAATTGAAGGTACCTATATATATATATATATATATATATTGTCTAAAATAAATTATTTTTACATCTCCTAACATCGTTATGCATGCATTATCATTTTCGTTAATGGATTTTCAAGACTATCCAAAAAGTGAAAAATATAAATTCTATTTTAAATAATTTGTAAAATAATGATTCTTTCATATTTACTTTTATCTTAATATTATTTTATATATTTGTTAATATTTTTACAAGGTTTATGTTTCCTAGTTTCGAGAAGTGATTTGAAAATTTAAATTTATCTCTGATTTATAATAAGATTGTTTAATGAAATAAATTTAAAGTAAATGTAATATTTATTTTTATTTATTAATTTTAATTATAACTATATATTTTCTAACAAGTACAAATATTTTGAAATTCAATATTTAAAATCGAGTGTTAATTATTTTATTTTATTTTTACAATAACTATATTTTGATTCTTATTACAATAAAAATAAATAGTAGATTAATTTATGTAACACATATTATCATAAAAGAACATTTATATTGTACATACTACAAACAGATAAAATTAAATTGTATCATGCATATTTTTTAATGAATAATTTAAAAAAAGTATTCTATTAAGACTATATATTTGCACTTAACTAATATTTTTTTTCCATAAAACATTGATATTTTTTATGTTGAATAACTATTTTTGATTCAATCGTCATTCTTAAACATATGCATGTTCATTAAATTGTTTATCTTTAATTTTTTTAATACTATAACAAAAAATATCTATAGTAAAATATGATAATTGAAAATTAGAGATAATACTTTCATTGGTGCATTATATATTTTACACTTATGAAATAAACTTATTTTATTTACAAAGCTTAAAATAATATTCTCTCTTACATTCAAAAACTACATTTTCCATAAATTTTATTCATTTTTTTTTTTATTTCTAATTTATATATTGTTTACATAATCTTAACGTCTATATAGTTAAAAAATAAAATAAAATATTAATAAGATCATAGATAAAAAAAAAAAG